CCAGGAGACGAACATGGATCCGCAAATGAGTCAACAACAACCGACTAGTTAATTCACTACTGCGACGCTAGTAATTCATGTCATGTTGAAATGAGCACGGTGACCTTGAAATGAGCACGGTGACCTTGAAATTAACACATGTCACAAACGTCATACATGTATTACAAAGTGAACAACAAAAATCACGGTTACAAGGAGTTGCTCGTCCGACATGATTCCCTATTGTAGAGAACGTCTGCTATTGGACGTGTCGTAGAATATTAGGATATTGGCGGGATTCAAGTTTTCTTCTTTCCTATCAACCAACAATACCCGTCGGCAACCAAAAAGCTCGTCAACAAATGCTTTAAAATCACGAACACAACGATAGTGTTTGTAAGATGTTATGTTCGTAATTGACATTAAAATTAACGCTGCTAGCAGCTACAATGAAATTGACATAACATGTCGGCAACCGTCACTTCAATGGGGGTGCAGGATGCATGTGTTTGTGGGGGAGGGGTGGCGGTTAACACGAGTCCCTAATGAGGCTTATATCTCGCCATTCGAGGTATAAACCTGCGTGTGTGCGCCATATTCATATTGAAGACACACTTTTCACAAAGTTATGTTCATATTGCACATTAAACGAAAACAAAATACACGGCTACAAGGCGTTGCTCACCCGACACGAATCCCTATTGTAGAGAACGGCTGCCACTGGATGTAGAAACTTTTTGATATTGGCGGGATTCAAGTCGTGTGACCTCGCGTGGAAGCCGTGTAATTCGCTTTTCCCCCAACAATATCCGTCTCTGTTATTTGTTGGTCACTGAATAAAGTCAAACCAGCTTTAAAATCACAAATGCAAAGATTGCTATGCGTTTTGTTGGTAACTGACATTGAAATTAACACTGCTATTAGTTACATGAAATGGACGTAACATGTCGACAACCGTCACTTCAATGAAGGGCGGGGAGGGTCGTTTAAAATCACTTCTCAATGGTATAAAGTTCAGAATATTAATACATATAACACAAAATCACGGTTACAATGAGTTACTCATCCGACATGGATCCCTAATGTAGCGCCGTTTGCGGTTTAAACCGGCGTTTGTGCGCTATATTTGGTTGCATTGGATATTGGCGGGATTCAAGTCGTGTGAACTCGTATGGAGACGTGTTTTTTGTGTTTTGCTTTTACTAACGATATTATAACGTTAGCGTTCCCACTGTTGGGTGTCTTTTTCAAAGGAAAGCGAACAGCTATTTTGAAGCGCTGAATTATGTGCGTCATCGTTTCCCACCATTTTGGTCAATATCCAAAGATTAATTGCAATTGAAAACTGCTATTTTTTACTCCGCTTTAGTGGTTAAATAAGTAAAATCATTTACCTTTTAGACATTTTCCATGTAATTTTCGTTGCTGTTCCTCTTTCAAACTTCGGTCATTCCAAAACTTTTCAACATGGCTGCCGTCTACCAGCAGATGCAGACGTCTTTGTGGTAAAATAAGTAATGCGCGCATGCGCAATAGCAATAAAGCCGAAATCCGTCGAGCGATTGGCTGCAAGAGTCGGAGAAACACATCATGCCATTTTTTGATTGATGGGTGTAACGGACATTTGAGGGCGGGGCCTCTGGTTTGAGTGTCGATTTCATATTTACTGAGAGCAATCTTGAAATGGGACGATGTGCAGCTACTCGATGTAGTCATATTTTCATCGAATATTGAAGAAACTGCATGTCGAGAAAAGATTTGTTTCATATCTGAGCGGGCAGCTTTATTTACTATATACTTTCTTATTAGATATACATTTCAGGAGCAAGTCAGTGACGCACGTTCTCCTGGACGTAGTTGCGGCGGTGACAAATCGAAATTGGTGTCCAGGGACTTTGTCCCTCTCCCTCTTCCCCACCCCCAGGTGCTGTACGGCTGTAGTCAAATGGCGATCTCGTTGATATCCGTAAGGACGCCGGGGCCAAATGTAAAATTGGATAAGGGTTTGTGGAATGTCTGTAGAATGTTATTGCCAAACCAAAACGTTTTCTAAAAAGAAAGGCGAAATATGCAGCTCTGTTCTAATCGATCTTTTTTAATACGCCGAAGATTTGCGCTACAATTAATTTTTTACTCATCGTGGATATTACTCATGAGCTTTGCTTTCTGAAGTTCGTTTTTCACCGCTCGGTAATAGTTTTCAGTCGGCTGGTCCTAATGTTTTTGAAGATTTTTTTCTGTGAGTGAAATATGGAGCAGGGGTGGTGCACAGGGTCGAATTATCATGCAAGAGAACGCAACAGATGGATAATAAAATGCCGATATCCCATGCAATTAAGAGCTCGGCATGAATGTATTACCATTTTTTTTTTAACTTTACTGCATTCAGATTACATTATATGGATCGAACTACAAAATGAACAGCATAATTGAACTATTTGAGCACATAGCCAAACAAAATAAGATTATCTAAGTTTGCGCAATACACGAGGACGCACACGGTTTTTCGCTTTTACTTTTTGCTTTATATATACATGCTAGACATTTTTAAACGTTTTCTCGAATCAAATGGATCGTATTAAGAGCATGACGGATGATAGTGGTTCTTCGTTGAAATGTAATCTTCATGGCAGCTAGCCAATTATTGGGGTAATTAAGTCTTGTTGTTATTTCTTTTTTTCAAGTCTTTACCTTCATTAGCGGCATTCATGTAAAGTTCGAGTATTAAAGTAAAGTTCATGTTTTCATAATTATGTAGTTAATGTATTTATGTAAAGTTCGGGTAATCATGTAATGTTAAGCACAGGGATCTGGGAACTTAATCATTGGGGTGGTATTTTACCAAAAATCGATCTAAACACATCAAACATGTAAAATTACTCTGAACACCTTAGTTTATGTCCAAATATAGCTGTAACAAATTAGCATGTCCCTGTGATGTTCGGGGTGTTCGTATAAAGTTCATGTACTCGCTTAAAGATATATGTATTCATGTAAAGTTCAAAACTTCTTCGGTGACCATATATCTTATATCTTTCAAATGTGTTTTAAAATCATTGTCGTAAATCCTCTGGAATGTATCTGAAAGGAAAATTTGACGAACGACGGACGGACGAACGACGGGCAAACGGACCACGCACACGAGTCATGGCATATAAGCTCATTTCTCCGGTCGTCCCAGATGAGTCAACTTGCCAAATGCAGTATTTAATGTAAAATATTAATAATTCGGGCAATTATAAAAAGTGTCTATATAATAAATGGTTCTAGTGGTGAGTTGGGCTAGAAGAGCGGCACATTACAACAAAATCTTTACTTACTGTAGGTTTACAAGTGGTCGGTTCTGTATTCCACGTTCTTTTAATCATAGTGAAAATCAGTGAGTTTGTGTAGATGTTGAAGTCTAAGTAAAACTTTCTCAAAATCAAAAGAAATGAAGTTTATTTAGCTTGAACGCCATTCCGTGCGGCCAAAAAACGTATTACATACGAGTGTTACAACAACGGGAACGTTTAAGTTAATATACAATTTGAAAGAAGAGATTCTAAATATGTTGAATCCAGTACAACTGTGAATTTATTACAAAAACTTTCACTAGGTTAGTGGGTGAGTTCTGGAATACCTGGAATGTAACCAAAATTACTCACGGACAGTCAAAAGCCTCGGTCTTAACCGATTACAAGCAAATCACATTTACAAAATTGAGTATTTATCTTTCTTGGATGACAGCTGTCCTTCATTGCAACTGTCCTTTGTCTGGAGACAATAGGAAGTACTCTTTGGCCAGTTAAGCTTATATGCCAATTTCCTGTTTCCTGGGTATGACATTTACGGCAATAGTCCCTTTAAGTCATAACGACAATAGGCAAATATATAGGTGTATATATATGATGGACAAAGTCCTTGCATGAGTTAATCTGACATCAATGTTTTGAATTAATTATATGGAAACTTCAAGCGTAAATGCTTCAAATATTCGCACGGGTAATTACCTTAAAGGGGACAAGTTGAAGATAATTACTTCATATTAAATACTTCGAACTTATTCAAATATATGTATTTCTCAATGAAGTTAAACTGCCATCGTTTGTAGTTTTAAAAAAATCAGAAAATAAGGAATATCATAATTTATTAAAAATCGTGTTTAGAGAAATAATTTTATCATATATTATTGATAATGCTCCAAAGAACATTTAAAGGAGAGTGCAATTATTAGATTATAAACAAATTTTAAAAGGCATCAGGCGTTCACACTTTTTAAAGGGGAGACCGGGGCAGATTTGGCTCATTTTTATCAAAGTCGTTCAGCATGGCATTTGTTGAAATGTATGTGCATATACACCATGTGGACGAGAAGTCCCATGCTTAAATATAAAATAAATTTTAACAAAAGGGCAAACACGTCCGTATTTGGAAAAAAATAACATTAAACTGTTTTATGTCGGAAGATTGGATGGCCGGACATGCACCGCCTTGGGCCAAGTTCGGGATAGGCAGTATGGGGTAAGGAACCATCATCATTCTATGACGTTGTAAGCCATAAATGCATGCAACGTCAGATTTTACCGCAGATTTGTACGACCTACTTCGATATCATAGGCCGAATCTGTCCCAGATTGATATTTCAACAATTCGTATATTACAGCAATACGGCAGTGAGTGGTATAGGCTTAAGTAACACGCATGACATAAATATGTAGCAATTCGGTTTACAGTGAAGTTTGAAAAATTATAAGGAATTAAAAGTGAGGTCATGGACCGATTATTATAACGTTGAGGTCTTTGTCAAAATGTTTTCATAATTTGGAACTTAGATAATTTTGTTTCAAACAATTCCAACCTGAAAATAAGTTGTTTATAATTAAGACGTCATGTAACTTGTTTATAATAGTAAACACTTTATATTAAGCTTCTTGGTTATTATCAATTAACTTGATACCTAACCGGGCAATGGTGGGCGGGGTTGTTGCGTTTCGTTCCTTTGTTAGCGATTTGTAAAATCATAAAACTCCCATGTGCGTCCTTTGCCGCCATCTTGTTTACTATCCGCAGTTGGGCTAAGAAGCAGTGCGGTTGAAAGCGAACATTCCATCCTCATCACATCATTGATGTGCTATTTTATATATTACCGATAAGTTAACGAAAAAGGGAAACCGTAAACATGAGTGATATTGATCCGAACAAATTAAAAGTTACAGAACTACGAGAAGAACTGAAGAACCGGGGACTGGACACGAAAGGGACAAAAGCTGTTCTTGTGAAACGACTAAAAAAAGCTTTGAACGCTGAAGCTGGAGGTGCAGGTAATCTATTGCTATGCATGGTTCTACATTATAGCGTGCAAACGCCTTTAAATCGGCGCACTGATGAACCAGAGATACTGAAGTCGTTATCCCGCATGTGTGTTTATTTGCCGGTGTGTGTACGTAGTAAAAGCGACCTTGACCTTTTGAATTAACTGTATTACGGTACGCCATAGCCATATGGCGTGGGCTCAAATTGATATTCGAATATTTGAACAGGTCACACTTGAGCAATCTTACCCAACTCGTTTCCATAACACCTACATGACGGGTTGTTTTTCATAAATAAATTTCTTACATTTTTAACATATTATAAAGCATATGATTTTTGACCTTTGTGAACTGAATGTTTACAATTCAGCCAAATGGCAGAGTATAACACAAACACGATATCTTACCATGTTACCTTGCTAATACTGGTGCTATACCACATATCCATGTTTGTGTTTTACATGATGTCTATAATGGCCTGGACTTTCCATTTTTATATGATTTATAGAGAACGAGAATACCAGTTTTCTACTCTGTATTATTTCCTTTATAATCATTTACTAAGATCATTTACAGCCCGTTTTAGGGAGTTAAAGAATTGAAAATTCATTCCCAATTATGTTGCTGAAAATCAATTATAACATAACAAACAATGATCATGATCAGCAGCACAAAGGATGAAATCCCTACATTATAAACAATAGGTCTTAGATTCAAATGCCTGTTGATTTTTTTTGTTAAAATAGGGAAATAATAATGAACATATGTGTTTTTACATAGAAAACTCTGTGAAATAGCATATGAACAAGCAACAGACAAATAAAAAAAAAAATTGTGCTAATGTAGTAATGGACAACAGTTTTTGGGGACACTGACTATGTTAAATTATTTGATCTTGTGATAATTTGGTTACAGCTGTAGATGAATCCCTCACAGAAGAAACTTCCCTCGATGACTCCTCACAAGATGGCGGTGGAGCTCTGGATGAAAGCTCTCAGGATATCACAGATGTAAGTTCGTGAATTCATTTCCTGTTCAAAAAAAAAAAGGATCTAGGATGTACAATGCAATAACATGTGTATAATTTTATCTTGGGCATTTATAATATAGTTAAGATTGAGTGGGCTTGCACCAATAAATGCACCGCCATTCCTTTAATTTGCACTTTTATTAAATAAGTCAAACAATTTAACAAATGCTTACATTGCAAATTTCCATGAAATTGGGTATGAGTAATATGTTATCTAATTTTCAACTTAAAAAAAAAGACAAATCGGCACATGTGTTCGGAAAATAAAGATTCCATTATTTACTTTGAATTTATTCATTTTATTCTGATCAAAATCTTTTGTTATCAAGCTATATGCCAAAATTGATTGTTTTTTTTGTGTAAATTGATTGTGGTGGTAAAAAGGATATAAATAAAGTGTTAGCTTCAATGTTTTATCAATGGAGATACAATAGTTTTTGTAAAGATTGTGTTGCAGAGTCCTAACTAAACATGTACAGTTGAATTTGAAATGGATTATCGGCTTACAGGAAGATTTGAAAAAATCTTCTACTTAAACCTATGTTTTCTGCTAGATATTGAACTCTTTCATGAGCCCTGACATAAAAGTTAACCAGTCTTCAGCAGTGATATTTTTTGCTCAGCTTTACTGCCGAATGCAGGCTGTTTCCCCTAGCTAAAAGTGACTTATTATCCAGAAATGACCAAAAACTGAGGAATATTCCCAATTTCAATACAAATAATGCTATATTTTCCCAATGTTTAATGGAACAGACTGTTATAAAATTTAGGTAACAAAAACAGGGTCAGACTGCTGGAATTTCACAACCCTACTACCCCATTTGCTAAATTATTTGACAAATGTTGCACTCTTTGAAATATTGGCATTGAATTGTTGAGATTGCTAGGTTGTGTATTTTTTCTTCAGCTGAAGTTACAGCACAATAACCATGACGTTGCTGTACAAGAAATAACATTTTCAGTTTTGCTAATCCAGTGACTTGTGTGTTAAGCTTTAATACTGAAAGCAACATGTCTTATTGTCACATCTTTTTTGTCTATTTAGACCTCAGCAACAGAGGCGCCACCAGCTGCTGAACCAGAGCCAGAGCCTGAACCAGTTGTGGAACCAGAACCAGAAGTAGTAGCTGAACCAGAACCAGTGAAAAAAAAATCACCAGTTAAGGTGTCCCAGTCTGTTAAGGAGGAGCCTGCTAAGGAGGAGTCTGCTAAGTTGGAGCCTGCTAAGGAGGAGCCTGCTAAGGAAGAGCCTGTTAAGGTGGAGCCTGCTAAGGAGGAGCCTGAACCAATGGAGCAGACTTCAACAGAAGAGGTCAATGAGGAAGAAGAGAAAAAGTTACTGGGAGAAACAGAGGAAGAGGTTCCTGTTGAAGAGCTCACTACAGTTGATGAAGCAACATATGAAGATGATGACGCAAAGGGTAAATATTAACTTCGCACAATTTAAAATAGTTCAAATTAGATATAAACAATTATGAAACAAGTATATAAGTCACTCTTGTTGGTGTGAATGTTTGTGTGCTGGGGGTCTGGGAGGAAATCGGAGTATCCAGAGAAAATCCAAGTGGTCTTGCATATCTTTTCACTTCGCTTCAGTGCCGCATAACCTTTCATCAAATTAAACATTTACTGTGTGTAGTGTTAAAACGGTGTTCCTTACTGGATCCTGTAAACAAAATATCAGCCCTTGTGTCTTTGCTAATATCATATATGGCCCCATGTCTCCTGTCACTCGTAAATGTGACATAATATCAGTATGTATATGTAGGACATCTGTGATATCTATATTTAAGCTATCTTCATTGATAACCAAATTATCATAATTTTCTGCTGTACATCATATGTACTGAACAAATAATTGTCAAACATTTCAATAGCTTTCAGTGCACCTTGTAAATAACACGATATTGTTTATTGAAAAATGATGCTTTAAAACTTGTTTTGACAAAATACAGAATTTCACTTCAAGTAATACATTGTTTTATTCATTCAAAAGATGAAGACAAAAAATCCAGTGAAAACAAAAGAAAGCGATCCCACTCGCATGATAAACATCGCAGCCGGTCGAGGTCACCACGAGAGAGAAGAAGGTCACGGTCACCAAGAGACAGAAAGTAAGCCTTTTATTTTATATATATTTTGTAGCATTCCACCAGCTTTTGTGTCACTTGCAACGCGAGACAGCATATAGGGATTACTTTGTCGGCGTCCAAAACAAGGTTTCTGTGCGATGACTTAAGTTTCCTTAAGTTGATTGAACTCAAACTGTGTTCACATATTGCATACCATTATAGATCGGACGAGATAGCATTTCAGAAGTTTACATGCATTTTTGGTGGAGTTACTTCCCTTTAATTGCCAAATGCATTTGTGTAAAAGCAAGATTTTTTTTGATTTTTTAATCAAATCCTTTCAAATTTTGTATGGTAATGCTAGAAGCAATAATGTTCACCGTTTTTCTGTTGCGTTTCAACTTTCCGTGTTCTGACATATCATACTTGACATAGCAAGCCATAACACATTTTCTCACTAAAAGCTCTGAGCAGGCGACACATCCACTCCTGTGGAATTCTTTTATGATTTTATGGTTCATTATAAAGAAAATCCATAGAAATTATATCTACATCACATCACGTCTACCTTATCTGTAGTGAAAGTTCATCCTTTTAATCTAGAAAAAGTGATCAAAGTAAATAAAAAAAGGATGTTGAAATTTTTAACAATAAAATTGCATGACATAAATTAATATCTTATGTTCATGGTTACATTGTGTTTATTTTTCAGGCCACGGAGTCCCAAGAAAATTGTTATGGATGATGAAACTTGGGAGTCTTCTACACAAACTCTGCTCGACAAATGTAAGTAATGGTTGTTGACACTGAAAATCCCAGATAAACAATATGTTGGTGACCCTGTGTAGTTTGCCTTTTGCTGGCAAACTTATCCTGGTGAGAAATGTTTTGGGGGAAAAAATGTGAAATAAAAAATAAACCTCATGATATTTATTTATGTTAAACTCTTGATATTGTTACAGTGATTGATCATGCTTGGAAGTTCAGGATCTGACTGGAGAGAGTGAAAATATTAAATGAAAAGTAGTTATAATCCTGTGATGAATCATGGTGTGTTTGATTTAATTTTTGAAATGTTCACTAATCAGTAAGAGATCCTTTTCTGACTCCTCAGACAACAGCGACCTGAACCTGAAGATTGACGAGACTGGCCTCAAGGCCGAGCCCCTCACCCACGATGGCTTCGCAATGATGTGGGCTGGAGCCAGAGCAATGTTTGGTGTCAACAAAGGAAAGGTGGCTTTTGAAGTCAAGGTAAGAAAAGAATGACTTTATATGGGAATTCACATCTAAATATGTCTGTCGATCTTAAATGTGAAACCCAAGACTGAATCGGCAACCTCTGTGGTACATTTCATTCCATCATGTTCAGTAGTGGCATCCATAACCGTTCATGCTGTTTTTTTTGGTCGATTAAATCTGTAAAAGTCACATCATTATATATTTAAAGTAAGATACATATATATTAAGATATGTTGTAGAAAGTTTGTTTGGGGATTTTTTTTTTCTAATAGTTGGGTTGAAAAAAATGTGTTCTCTTGATTGAAAAAATATGTATTCTAATAATCTTAAAATTAATGTTCTTGGCTTTGTATTGATGTTTGTGTTTTTGCGGTCCTGACAGCTCCTGGAGAACATGCACCTTGATCATGTAGGACAGGAGGAAACAAATCCACACGTAGCTAGAGTGGGCTGGTCCATGGACTCCACTTCTATGCTACTTGGTGAGTACACATGTTAATGTAAATTTCAGTGTATTTTTGTTACTGCAAATCATTTGAAAACCTGCGTTTGTATCTCACAGTATAGCAAAAAGGGGAACATTAGGGTAAAAGGAAAAGTCTGTCAAAGGCAATTAAATAATACTATTTGTAAAGAAACAAGGACAAATGAGATCCAACCTCCATTAGTGGATGTTCCGTGAAGTTCTGCGTACCCCTGCATATTTGTAAAGATGTAATAAACATGAAATTTTATCAATTCATATTTCATTGCACTACCCTTCACTAAGTTATTAACATGTCAGGAATTTGCTACCTGAATAACGTGCTAATTTTATATTTGTATAAATGTAAAAATCTTGCTGACAAGAAATGAAAATTTGTTTTGATTTCAGGTGAAGAGCCATTATCCTACGGCTACGGTGGTACCGGGAAGGCATCTGTCGACTGTAAATTTGAGGATTATGGAGAGAAGTACACTGCTGGAGACGTCATCACAGGCTACATCGTGAGTCTACTGTACAGCAGTACATTGTATACTAATTTTGTTTCAACCCAGATTATGAGCTGACAGGCACTTGACTGAAGTCAGTACGGTAACAGTTGTGGAAGTCTTTGAATAAGAGACATATTTGACCATGGCAAAGTGAGAGTTCTACAAATTTACCTTAACTTCTAATTCTCATGCTGGAACTTACAGTAGCATACCCTATGAAAAAAGTTTTCTCACATCTTTACTTTTCTCTTGATTATTAAATGCATTACATTGTGGCTTTTCATATGTTGAAGTAGATTTTGTTAAAGTGTGGAAAGTGTATTTACTATCCAGTCTTTTTTTTTATCACATTCAATTCATCTATGTTTTTGCTCTTCATGTTGTAGGATTTTGAAGATGCAGAATCTGTCTTCTTCTCCTACTCGAAGAACGGTGAAGAGCTGGGTGTCTGTTTCTCTATAGAGAAATCCACACTAGGAGACAATGCCTTGTTTCCTCATGTCCTTACCAAGAACACCTCTTTCGAAATCAACTTCGGGGCACAGGTAAGATCGTCCTATAGATATAAAATACATAATTACACAGTTTGTACTGTCAAAAAGTACAGAATCTAAACTACCTAAAATGGAAACCCAAGATATATGTTTCTTTAAAGCATTATATTATACAAAAATCACCCAAAGTCCTTGTTATGAAGGTAAAATATGTAAGATATGACACAAAGAGTTTATTAGTAATCCCCTAATACTTTTAGCTCTTCAGAGGTTGTGAAAGTATAAGGGAATTACTAAGAAACTCTTTTATATGTAGAAACGTTAAGTCAACACTATCGGAGCATGGACATGCAAGTTAGTAATAACTTAAATGTTAATGATGACAGTGAAATCATTTATAATATTTCTGAAAAATACATTAGTGATGTGTTTTATTTCACAGTTTACATGTTACAATTGTATTACAGGAAGAACCCTGGTTCCCCCTGAAGGAAGAGTTTGTGTTTATAGAACAGGTCGAGGACAAGATCAGAGGAACACTCCCCCCTGCTAAGAAGGAGGATTGCCAGGTAGACCTCTTACATTTGACATATTTTTGACTTTCAAATATAAGAAGGCAAAGATTTATAGAATATTTATACTCCTTATTGTTTATTCAAACATTAAAATACAAAGAATACACATAATTATATACATAGATATATAAGGCCAAAACAAAACAAAAAATTTAAAGAAAAATAAAATAAAAAAGAACTTTTTGCAATACAAAATACCAATTATCATTTACTTACCAGATAATAATGATGGTTGGTTTGCCTGGATCGGGGAAGACCACATGGTGTGAGAAACACAGACTAGAGAACATGGACAAGAAGTTCAACTTATTGGGCACCAATAACATCATTGATAAGATGAAGGTAAGATTTCTACTGGTGACATTTCTAAAAAAAAAAAATCTCTGTATTCTTTTATTCCCCCACCAGTGCAACCAAATTGATGTCAGTCAGTGTGTCATTTTGTCCAGGGCATATCTCATGTGATGACAGGGTGATGCATACTGAAATCAAATAATCTTGTGGCCCACTATATACAGGTCTGGCCCATTCTTAGATTCTATGATCAAATTTTGTCTGGAAATTGGGGACTTGCAATTGTTTGCAATGACCTGCCCTTATTTGCCCTTACTGTAGTTATACAGGAAACTGACAGAGGTCCTTTATCCACCTTCTAATGTAGACATTTATTATGTTTTACCTACCGAAAGAGTGTTGGTCTGTTCAAAAAAACTATTAACCCTTAGGCTGCTACTCACGACAATAGTCGTTTCGAAAAGTCGGGCCGTCAGTGCTACGCTCGACAATAGTATGTATTTACACCTGGTAATTGTTAACCATTTTGATTGACAGGTGGAAATATATCCGTTGTAGCTTGGTCAATGATTTATCGGAAAATGATCATACAGAATGATGGGGTGACTTTCATGTCATTCTGACATATTTCTAGTATCTACCTTTTATTGGCCTTAAAGACCTCTTCTGTGTTGAAATCAGAATTCATGGAGTATCTAACTTACAATCTTCACAGGTGATGGGACTACCAAGGAAGAGAAACTACGCCGGTCGCTGGGACGTCCTGATTGACCTTTCTAACAAGTGTCTCAACAAAATGCTGGAGTCAGGAGCGAGCAAAAAGAGGAACTACATTCTCGACCAGGTAATGCAAATGGCATTTGGCGACCGGTGCGCTAAGAAAGTGCCATAAGCCGTAAAAAAAAAGTGACTTCCATGTCACAGATAAATTAACAAGACATAATACTGGCAACAAATTTGGAAGAATGAGGACACATTAACTTATACACTAAGACACGACGATTCAGCACGTGCTGTAGAGCATGTAAGGTTTGTATAATCAGCTGATGTCATCCATTCGTCAAATACCAAGGTACGTACTGCCCCTCCCCATACCAAACCCCCAAGTTCACGACTCGCCTCTGGAAGCATCTGGAAAAAAAGGTAAGTGCATTTAGTTCTAGACTTATCTAGTCGAGAATCAGTTGTGACACGGCGTCAGACTTTGAAGCATTTGCGTATTTATATGTTACACACAAATGTCTACAGAACATCGTCATTTAGGAAAAATGACTCGATGGACGGCACCATGTACGATGTGATATTACAAAGGATGGATGTTACGGAGGAGACGTGTTACGCAGGAGAAATATTACGGAGGAGGAATACGATGAGAAATATTATTTACTATTTTTAATGCTGAAATTATTTATTGATGCCTGGATTTATATCATCTGCAATTAATATGTTGTTCATCAAGGATGTTGATTTTAACACAGTTGAAATTTTGAATGCAGAAAAATTCAATATTGTATATTATGATGAAGGCTGAGGATTGGACAGTTCGGTTTTTTATGTTGAAGAAATGATATTAGGATAGAGTAGGTTGGTTCTTTTCAGCTCCAGAGGATTATGGTAAGTATTGAAAAAACTGATACTGAGATGGAGCTGTCTGTCTGAAACTGATTCTTATGTTCTTGGAGTATATTGCAGATCGATTGGATGGATCTTTTTTTTTATTAAGCAACAGTTTGAACTGTGCACTGTCAGTCTAATATGGCAGTCAGTCAGTCAGCCCAATCCAAGATTGATATTTATATTCTCTGTTGCCACGCTAGACAAATGTGTATGCATCAGCCAGACGACGTAAGATGCAGCCTTTTGAAGGTTTTCAACGCAAAGCTGTTGTGATAGTTCCGTCTGATGAAGATTTCAAAAAACGCATTGAGGAGCGAGTGAAGGAAGAAGGAAAGGAAGTACCAACTAGAGCAGTACTTGAAATGAAAGGTAGGCTGTGCTGACCTCGAATGCTGGCTGGCACCAACCAGCTGGCCCATACTCTAAATGTATGTAGTCCCTTCACTATCATTTAGCATGCCTATGTCAAAGATTACTTGCTCTGTAAGGTGTAGGCTGTTCCTGCCCGTCACAGCCAGAGGTGCCAGTCCAGTAGGACCATCTCTGGCCGATTGTTGGTGGCCCTTCATCATCTCTTCTCTGTTTGTAGCCAACTTCTCCATGCCCGAGGAGGGGGCGCTGTTTGATGTGGTGCAGAATGTTGAGCTAGATGGTGATGAACTCAAGGAGCTCATTCAGAAGTATAACAAGGAAGGGAAAGATGCTCTTCCACCACCAGAGAAGCGACACAGGGAAAGTCGATTCGGAAGTAAGTCAGAGTCTGTGTGTTCCACGTAGCATATTAGTACTTGCGGTAGTTATGAAATTTTGGCTGTCTGCTGATATTCATAGTTACAGTGCAACAATATTGTGTGCTCATGCTAGCCATTCACTTTTTCGTTAATAACAAAATGAAATCCTCCTCTACGAAAATAAAATAAACCCCTTTCGCCATATTTGCAAAAGCCTTTTGCACTGGATACTAAACATTGTGCAACTTAAAACATTGATATTGACAGAAAATGAACAAAAGCAGGAATTCGATCAGAAAGTGACTGTCGACTCAGTCAGCAAAACACTTGACTTACTCATACGAACAGGTCATTTTAGGGCCGTAGCCAACATGGGAAGTGTTTATCTATTGAATTCCATCACTCTTCAAGAAAACAACTTTATTGGAATGATCTTTTCATCACATATTTGTACTGTAGACAAGACTAGGCCTAATGATCAAATGTCGGCTTGGTGGCAGCCACTGGAGATACGTGATAAAATGACCACTATATAAATAAGTTATTTAGTTTTTGCAATTTAGGACTATCTTGTTATACTTGTCCCGATCCTAATCGTATTAAAATGACACTATGAACGTTCCCAATTGTAACGTCTGGACGAATATAAGATATAGATATTGTGTCCTGCACCGTCCCCCGGAGCTCCTATTGTCACATGAATTAAAAGATCATCATATTTTGACATTGGCTTTTTTTAAAAGAAGACCTGTCTCAACTCTTTTCAACCTGTTCCCCCCATCAATAATTAAATACTATTTTATTATGGAAATGGCAGTTATTTACTCCAGTTGCAGTGTGAAATATGTGTTTGTTTTAATGACTTTGTGTCCTTCATTATTCTAATGACCTAAGATGGGAAAAAAGGAACACAAGTGAAGAAGAATGTTAAGATTGTGGTGAAAAACCGGATTTTTTTTTGATTTTTTTTTACTATCATGTGCATTGATACATAATTCTATTTGACCCTTGATTTTGGTTTACTCGGACATAATTAAAACATTTAAAGACAGATGAAAATTTGATAATTGGAATTTGAAACTGTTTTATTAAATACAATATCCATTTTGCTCACTTCCTCACATCTGATTATAATATACATAAAGCTGTAAACTATGATACACTGACTGACTGTCCTTAGTTTAGTCAGATAACATGCAGTATAAATCTCAGAATGATTAAAGCCATTACATAGAGGTGTCCGGTTTCATTATTCATTTCTTTTATTTCCTTATGCTGAAAAGAGAAAGACTTATCTTTAAATCATTTTAATGTAATGCTTTGACTATATCTCCTAAAAGACGACTTCGTTTATATATCAAACTCCTCCTGTATCGTGTTATTTGGACGTCCAAACCAATAAGTAAAAGTTGCTAAAACCAATCATTATTTGCTAAAAGTAAAAAGGTGCCTCGAGCAACTTTTGCTAAAAGAATTTTTGGTCTAGAGTGAGCACAGGTATTAGCACACAGAACACAGGTTATGTAACATAACTGAAAAAACTTCCCACATATAGTACTACCTGCAGACTGGGCAATACTGAATCAAGTCATATATAAAAGTTCAACCATCAATCAAGTATCCAGATACGAGTCATATACTAAAATAGCAGACCGAGAACATTATGTTTCTGGTGACACAAGACCACAAGGAACTGACGCAGGTTTAACCTAGAGAAATAGAATCGAGTGTATTCATCCTAACCCATTCTATGCAGCAAATCACTGATGCTTGTTAAAGTCTTAAATATGTGGGGGGGGGGATTGAAAAAAACAGCTGAAAAGGTGTTAAAAGAAATTTCAGTTGCGTTATATATTGGGGTTGTTAATCTATACTGGTATTTATAGTAGGGAGGGATATACAGTAGATGTTGGGGTTGTTAATCTGTACTGGTATTTATAGTGGGGAGGGATATACAATAGATGTTGGGGTTGTTAATCTATACTGGTATTTATAGTAGGGAGGGATATACAGTAGATGTTGGGGTTGTTAATCTGTACTGGTATTTATAGTGGGGAGGGATATACAGTAGATGCTAAGAATTCTTACGGTTACCTTTCAGACATTGAGCGACGTGACAGCAGAGGCAACGATCGATCTGGTGGCAAAGACAACCGTGATCGTGGTTACCGTAATGACAACAAACGAGGTGGCTATGGAGGCAATAGAGGTGAGTAAATACACAACTGCCATTAGCAGGAATAGCTATCTGTCACTTCACAATTAGGAAAGTTCATGTAAATGGTGTATACAGTATAAGACCCTGCTGGCTTTAACTCGTGGGGTCCAGAACAATATTTCGAGGAATACATGGTTTTAGACAAATCCAAGGTTCGTCCGACGTCGTCATATTTGATCAGGTGGGACGAAAGACAGTACGAGCACTGCAAATATCGTGGATAGTAAATGATAGAAGTAAAAAAAGGTTTGATAAAGATGACAACATTTAATAATATATAAAATTGCTCAACAATGAAAACATATAGCCATTGGTATTTGGGTATGTGAAGAAAATCTTGAATCCCTGTTAGTGTAATGTCGATTGATAATGAAATTAACATCCAAAAGATGGTTGAGAATCTGCAATATGGTTTACGCTGGATATTGCCATGCCGAAATATGATTTTACACACCCACTGAATTTACACTATCACTAAAACATCAATGTCAAACATCGCGGTAGGTGTGATACACAGGTGTAACTACCTGTTAGACACAAGCGAATAGGTTAAATACAGTGGTCCGGGATAAATCTAGAGTTCGAGGAACAACGGATATTCCAACAATGTCAGTTCCAGTAATCTTGGGTTAATTCATAAAGAATATAAAGGAACACACTCGGCACCAAGCAAACTACTAGTGGAACAGGGTATTCGAGTAATGCTAGTTTGAGTATCTGAGGTTTCAGTGTATATGGCCTTAAAGTATTAATCTATCTTAAAATTACAAGTAAAGCTGTCAGTTTAAATGTAATCTATAAATCACAGGCATAGTCATCAATGTAACTATATCTTATGCATTATTTATATCACAGGTAGGTTACTAGTGTTGGTCAATCTGTCGCAGGTGTGGCCGTCGAAGATTATCACAGATAGGTTCAGAGGTCAATGTGATATCTTTCTATATGTGTATGGTTAGATGTTCTACGATTTCTTCATTATTTTTTAGGTGGCTACCAAAGAGGCGGAGGTGGAGGTTACAACAGGTATGACAACCGTCACCGTGACAGCCGTGACGACCGTAGTGACCGCAGGATGTCTGGTGGTGACAGGCGTTCTGGAGGTGGTGACTGGAAGGCTCGGGTAAGTGCTTTTGTTTGTTTCTGTTACATTATTCAAAAGTATGTCAATTCTATAGGGAGGCATGGTAGTCTAGTGTTAGGACGCTAGGCTCGTGCAGAGTTCACGTCACGGTGTTGTATCCTTTGCTCCGCTTGTTCAAGTCTTCTCTGCTGTAAATGAGTATGTGGTTGGGTAGTGCTAGAATTGTATAATGCTAGCTGTGAGCACTGTAATGGAAGCACCAGCTGTATAATCCTCGGGGATTTGAGAGATGTTGGCTGGTTGCAAAGGCCCTATAACCAATGGTAATTACAGGATAATAATTTGTGAACTGCTTTGAGACGACCAACTAGATTGTGATAAAGCTGTATATAAGAACCTCAAATTATTATTGTTATCATAAGAATTTGGATTCTTTAGTACTTTACCATGACAAGTGATGTTTTATTCTTCAGGACCGCAATGACAGCAGAAACTCCAGTAAAAGCTATGGAAACAAATCACAAGGCTGGGGCAACCAGGGTAGTTGGGGAAATCAAGGAAGCTGGGGCGGCCAGGGTAGCTGGGGTTCTCCACAGCAAGGAGGCTATGGGGTTAGTTATCCTCTCTGTTGTAAATAATTCTGTCTGTTGCGATGTTCTTTCATTTGTCATAATCAAAACAAGTTTGCTATAGCTTATTCTTTTTGAAATATGGAATGAACTTGTGATCTGATCTTTTTTTCCCCTGGAAATATTGTAATGAGATGTATTAAAACTACATAGTTAATTTGAGTCATTTATCAGTTCATAATACTGGAAAAATAAATGTTCCATTCCATTTGTAGACTTGCACATATCTTGGCCCTTTTCACGTATAAGGTTGAACGGGTTTGCCCGTTTTTAAATGTTACAATTTCGGGTATAAATCCTTGCAGACCTGCAAATTTTTTATGCAGGCTTTGTTAAGGCTCATCTGATAACAAATCTGGTCCAACTGGCTCGATAGGCAAATGCGGTCCTAGATGAATTTGTAAGCTTGATTCAAAGAGAAAGGATTATGCATATATGATATACTAATTATTGTGTTTGTACTTGCAGCAGTGGAACTATGCTCAGGGTGGGGCCCAGAACTACAATTGGCAAGGACAGAACTGGAATCAGGGTTACTGGAACCAGGGGTACAACCAGACGCCAGCAGCCAGCAACCAAAGTAACACCACAGCCACAAACTACAATCAGTGGGGATCGTACAGTGGTTCAAATTACCAGCGCTGAAAGTGTTCTCCATGTTCCCCATCAGTCAAGTGTATATATATATCTATGTCGGAAATCATGTGCATTTTACATAATTGATTACATTCATCACTCATCGTGACTCCGTCTTTGAATTGTCGTCACCCTCAAGAAAACAAATAGACACGTATATCTTTTGTTTCTGTGATTGGTTGTTTTTTGTTCTTTTATCAAATTTTGTGCATTTAGTATGGATGTATTAATAGCAAGACATCGGATGAACTTTTTGTTATTGAATTTGTTTATCAAGTGAACAGACCATGTGGAGGGGAAAATATAGACAATTGCAACCATTGTCAGGTCTCATCTCATTCATCTACATCTTGTGGGTTTATATAACTGTTTTGATGTTGAGTACATTTTTTGTTACAAAATGACCAAATAAACAGTCTCTGTGAATTTTGTATTTTTTATGTTTTCATTTTGAAGCTGTTGGGACTCCAGTTTTGACGAGCAAAATTGTTATTCTGATTCATTATGAGTTTTACAATATTCATAATAGTATAAAAAAAAATCATTCCATGAATTAACGAGAAATTATCATGCTTAATACCAAGAGAGTCGTATTGGCATTGTGCTGCCAAAGAAGACATAATTGTTCGTATCGTGGTAAAGATGATGTCTCGAGGGTAATCCAAACTTGGCATGAATGATCCACTGATAACCTAGACAAAGTGTTGTTTTCTTGCCAATTCCAAAACCAAAATGTCGGAGACATTTCAGATTTTCCTTTACCAGTTTTAGTACAAATAATCTCATGACCCTGAACAATTAAATTTCTTTCCTGGCATTCCTTTTTTTAGAGGAAAATCCTCTTAAATCTAAGCCATTCTCAATAAGCGCTATCATTTAAAAAATATCTCCAACAATTGGAACATATGCCATCTTGGATTTTGGATTGACCTGTAAAAACACCACTGTTCAAGACTGAAGAGGATCTAATCACCAGGAAAGTTTTTTGTCGTGGTGCAGCTCACTTGGGTCTTTGTTACGTCAGGAAATTCAATGTCTGGGTGATCAATATGAAGACTTATGGATATGATAATCACAAGAAACTTTCTGTACAAATGTTTTATTTTATTTTTGGAATTTCCATTTAAAAATACACATTCCATCTACAACCAAAACATTAACATCATCATAAGAACATGCAGATCATTAAAAGAAAAAATCACAGAATCATGTTGGAATGTAATATCAAACCAGAAAACATGTTTATAATCGGTTTCTAAATATTTTATTTTTTGTGATCGGTCTCAATTAACATTATTATATCATTTGTATTTGTTTGTGGTAAGCGTAAACAATCTGACAAAAAGGTTAAAACAGGAAGCAAACACTTCTTAGTAAAATATCAATGACATAATTTATGTAAACTTCAGTAATAAAATGATGTAAAATTCATTCTCCGTTTGAGATTTTTTTTTCAGATCTTGAAACTTTTTCATTTTTTAATATCAATGAAACTTGAAAAAAAGTACAAAAACCGTAGTGATATCAGTTGCATAATAATATTTACATCTTATAGAGAAAGTCTGCAAAACATAATTACTGTATATACCAGGCACAAACGGTTAAACTAAAAAACAAATCCTTTTTGTGCGAACAATGATATACTACATATATAAAATAATGTAATCTTGAAATAAATTTGTATTGTATAATTTTAATATCTTTATTACGACTACATGTATAAACTGTCGATGACAGGAAAAGTATAAAACTTTACTTATAGAGGAACAAAATAATATACACTCGTCAAACATTAGTGCTCCTCTTAAAATTAAGGTAAGTACAAATACCATCAAATTTTATCACAGCTGAATTAAGGGTTAAGATACGTAACATATTTTTATGAACGTAACATTAAGGATATACTAAATACTTCAGTTTAAATTCAAATCCAAGTGAAAATTATAGCTATTTCATAATCTATTCTTTGAAATGACATTGAAGATTATCAAATGTCTTCTAACTGAATGTAAAGTATATTTTATGGATACATTTTGTGTGATTTAATCTTTACACATTAATAAGTAATCTCATTTTGAATAATGTACATTAAAAATGAATAATATGCTGTGTAGATTATAAGACTCGTTTATATATATGTAATATTGTGACATTTTTTTTTTTTAATTCTCGACACAGTCGACACATGCTGGTGATGTTATCAATTTGTCTTACAAATCCACTATAACAGTTCTTAATTTGTTTTTATTCCATGAATAAACCAGAAATTATTATGCTGAATACTATGAGTCATATTAGCATTGTGCTGCCCGAGATGGTACTGAGTAACAAAAAAACTGTTTATGGGTCTTTTCTTTTATCATTTAATGCCTTAACCAACTATTCACTGTTAAAAAGGTTTATGACCTATAGTATGTTTAGTCTTCAGAATAAATAATTTTGAGATTTTCTGTACTAAAGTAAAATGTGAAAGTAAATACAAGGTGAAAGTCTCGTGTTATACAGTTATAAGTGGTTGTTTCAACGGTCGTTGTCATTTTCACCGATGGTTGTTACTCTAGTCAATCACCGACGAGGTACACATGGTGTTGAGCCCGCACACACCGCCTCCTCTGTACACCAAGTAGTAACCCTATAATAACAAACAGTAAAGTCAGCATCATCATAATACACACACTGCCTCCTCTGTACACTAAGTAGTAACCTTACAATAACAAACAGTAAAGTCAGCATCATCATAATACACACACACCGCCTCCTCTGTACACCAAGTAGTAACCCTATAATAACAAACAGTAAAGTCAGCGTGATCATAATACACAAACCGCCTCCTCTGTACACCAAGTAGTAACCCTATAATAACAAACAGTAAAGTCAGCATACACACACACACTGCCTCCTCTGTACACCAAGTAGTAACCCTATAATAACAAACAGTAAAGTCAGCATCATCATAATACACACACACCGCCTCCTCTGTACACTAAGTAGTAACCTTACAATAACAAACAGTAAAGTCAGCATCGTCATAATACACACACACAGCCTCCTCTGTACACCAAGTAGTAACCCTATAATAACAAACAGTAAAGTCAGCGTCATCATAATACACACACACTGCCTCCTCTGTACACCAAGTAGTAACCCTATAATAACAAACAGTAAAGTCAGCATCATCATAATACACACACACTGCCTCCTGTACACCAAGTAGTAACCCTATAATAACAAACAGTAAAGTCAGCATCATCATAATACACACAGCCTCCTCTGTACACTAAGTAGTAACACTATAATAACAAACAGTAAAGTCAGCATCGTCATAATACACACATACTGCCTCCTCTTTACACTAAGTAGTAACCTTACAATAACAAACAGAACAGTCAGCGTCATCAATATCATCTTAAATGAAGATGAGGTCATAATTAGGGATTACATGATCCTAGCCTGTATTTGAATGACAAACCAGAAAGTACAAGGTATTTTCATATAGGAATTCATGACTTTCAACACATATGGCCCTTGAGCTTTCCTTGAAGGTGGGGCAAGGAGTTTAACAAACTTGTTTGCCCTTCTAGCAAGTAACAGGATAAATACAGGGAGTGTAAGTCATGTATATTTCCTTCTTGAAGTTTTTAACACATTTGATGCCTGTAAACTTGAAGCAAGTCATTTATCTGAACTTATTTGATAGCTTTCTGCAAAATCTGCACAAATATCATCATTGGCAGCCTCGAATTTCTGCAGAAGTTGTTGAGTTGGGGAAACACGCCAAAAAAGATACCATCAAATGGAGAAAAGACCGAGCTATCTCTAAGTTTTGTAATTGAGATAACTTTTCTTCAGTTGATATGTTTCATTCATTAACGTCATTGTTCAGCAGCACAAGATACAATCCTGGGTCTGATACAGTTTGCTATTAATTCGTTTCTGATGTTCTGAATCTGAAGCAGGATTGGTTTCTTTTTATACGACTGTCAAATTTGACGGTAGTATTATGGTATGGCATTGCCCGTCCGTACGTCCCTCCAGCGTTAACATTGTTTGTCCAGCAATCTCCTCCTAAATTTTTCGACCGATCTATTTGAAACTTGGTATACATTATAATCATGATATGAAGTTGTGTCTCCCTTAAAAGAATTTTGATTAGAAGATTTTTGCAAAATTTATTGCCTTTTGTTCATTTCAGTTTTTGATTTTTTGTCCAAAGACTTTCTCATACATTATTTTATAGCATATCAGCTAACCCCTCTTAGAATGATGCAGATCTTGTTTCAATGTAAGAAAGTATTTAACACTATATGGCATTCGACGGGCGTATTTTGTTCCGCCCCGCGGTACTCTTGTTTGAATTATGAAGAGATAATTGTAAACTTTTCTTAACTAAATGTATGTACAGATACAGGAGATTTTGATTAACCGTTCATACCTTTTCTCCCCAGTCAGGTCCCCAGCTGTTCTTCACGGCCCAGTAGGGTGTACCATCCTCTGTTAAACACACAAGACAAAGAAATTGAGGTGAAAAACAATATCAATGGAGGATAGTTGATACCAATACCAAACATATATTTTTTCATACGATTGACTCTGATAATACCGTGATGGTAAGAACCTGATAGGAGGATTGGAGTTGTGTTCTCCAAGTTCCAAGGATCATAAATTACTCAATCTTCCTATCAGGTTCTTATGAGTAAATAATATATTGTAGTATATTTCAACCTACACTAAGGCGGTTTTCATATTGTGTAAAATGGCGCAGATTTGTTTCTACATTCTAAATTTCAGTGAAGATTGTTTTATAAGACTGAAGTATAAGTATAGCTGCTCTAAAAGTCACTGAAAACATTTTATTTGTAAATGATACAGTGTATAGTCGAATCTGCTCAAGCGACCATCTGTTTTATGCGACCACTTTTCATTCCTTTACACCAAACGGTCGTTGAAATATTTGTGTAACTCCAAATTTGCGTCCGTCTTATAATAAATTCAACTATGTGCAGAAACAAATAAAACATCAATTTTCTAACTGCCGATATTGTTGATTTAGCAGTGAAAATAGTCTGTAGGCCTAATATTTATCGCAGGTGAGCAAAACCATTTTGATTGCGCGAGTGTCCTGCTAAGTAACATAACCTTTAACCCTACGATATCCCCAATCTGATTGGATGTAGTACACTTGCAGGTTTTCATTCTTGAAATCTCGGGTCTGTTGAGAGATGTTCACGACAGCACTCTCGCGCGAATTTAACATTCAATATCAACGAAACTGAGCACAAAACCTGTTTATGTTAGCACACATATCGTTTCTAATTCCTCATCAATATCGAAAGCCTTTAATAACATCCCTGAACTTCTCAACGCTTAAGTACTAACAACAATAATACCGGTCTGTTTTTCAGCAACATGTGGTCGGCTTTATTTTGGTCATTTTTTTATCTGGATTTTCTTTCCAGTTTCCATCGTAAAATTAAAGGAATAATATAGATGAACCCATCTGCTGGACCACCACAGGAACCGCTATCATTTCACACAACAGCTTGCGTAACAATTAATTTAGCTTAAATCACGGTAATTACTGAAAACACAGTCGATCGTTGGTTCTGAGTGAAATGACAATTCTTCTCAAACACTCTTAGTTGTTTGTTTACTGTCATAATTATCACTCGACTATTGTTTAGTGATTTACCTGATCAGTTGAAAGATGTTGTTTTAAACTACCTGGGGTCACTTCGCGTATCCCGGTTGAAACGGTATGTGTGGCGCAGAAATATTCCACGATAAACGAGCGCACTTGGACCATTCTATAAGCAGAGCTAAAAATGCACAGTTTCGGAGAATAAATAACAATTAATGTATCAAGAATACCTTCTTTCAATCGTCCACTGAATTACATAACGTATCTTAAAAACTACATGTGGCTTGACATTGTTTTAGAAAGTAATAACGCAAACTAGTCAGCATTTTAGTTTTGGTCAGGTACATCTGGACCCCTCAATCTACACGTGCCAAATTTTCCTGAGGTCAGCCTCAGTCCAGATCTGTGCCTGTCGTTTTCTTTACAGGTCCAACCGGTTCAACCGTTTCAACCGGATACGCGAATGTACCCCTGTACAAACATCTGTAAATGAGGCTTGGGGTGGTGGTCTGTTAACAGTTGTCTGAATTAGGAGTCGTTTGGTTAATGTCGGTTGTGTAATTCTGTACAAAAAACATCATCAAACTTTATTAAACGACCACTTTTCTTAAACGATCTGCTTTTTAATTTCCCTTGGGTGGTCGCTTAATACAGATTCGACTGTATAAATACATGTACTTACGAACACCATATCCTACAATAAGAACGCCGTGATCCAGTTCCTTGGGGTAAATGATACAGTGTATAAATATATGTACTTACGGACCCCATATCCTACAATAAGAACGCCGTGATCCAGTTCCTTGGGGTAAATGATACAGTGTATAAATATATGTACTCACGGACACCATATCCTACAATAAGAACGCCGTGATCCAGTTCCTTGGGGCTACAGAAGAAACTCCAGGGGTGGGAAATACCTCCCATGTAGAACTGGAAAGTAAAAATTTAATCATTCAATCATCTCATTTTGAAAGACTATTAGTGTGTTTCGATATTAAAATCTCTCGGACACCTGCAAATTTATATTCCAGTTGAAGTCATGATTAAACACAAAGAAATATGTTTACTACACAACAGTTAACTCCCCTTTGCCATTATTACTATGAAGTGTGATCCCAAGAGCACTGGAGATTATTATAGCAGCCCCTGCACACAGTTTTTACTGGCCTGGAAATTAGCCTTGGCAACAGTCTAAGGATTTATTTCTATTTCTTTGTTCCAAAGTTGTGTCCATTAAAGATGCCTACTGACCTACTATGTAGAAAGCAACCGAAAGTATCTGCCTACTGAGCAATTATCTCCCCTCTGCCATTGAGAGATAGTTTCGTCAGCAAAACTCTCATTCTTACCTGCATAGCAAAAGCATTGATGCCAATAGAAATTGGTCCATTCTTTGCCAGCCAAGCTGCCATTTCTGCATGAAAAAAAACAACAATTAACATACTTATGTCTAGCAAAGCACATTCTCTACCATAATTCTTTGTCGAGTCATGTTTTATCCATAAAAGTTTCATAAAAATGTGAGTAGACATTCAGGAATTATTTTATCAACAAGCATTATAATGACCTCACATTTGATTCTTTCTGTGACCTTGACAATGGAGTGGTAGAGACATAAAGAGGACACATTGTTAAGTTATGATCAAAGAATATAATGGCCATGATTCATTTTAATCTGGAAGTGGATTCTACACTGTGGTCTCTGTCACTCATACACGCATGCATACACAAAACACATGGAGGCACTTCCTTAAATGACCTTAGCTGTTAACAAGATGTTCAAAAAAATAAAAACAAACTGCACTCCGGCCATCAAGCCTCTATGCTCAGCTCTGTCCTTTTCTGTGTTCCAAGCTGTGATGACACAAACCGGCCGAACATTGAAGTTAAAGTATCTAAGTTAAAAACCTACCTTTCTCGTCACTGGAAATGGACACGGATAAGTTAACTTACCTTTCTTGTCACTGGAGATGGACACGGACGAGTTAACTTACCTTTCTTGTCACTGGAGATGGACACGGATGAGTTAACTTACCTTTCTCGTCACTGGAGATGGATACGGACGAGTTGATGGTCACCCTGACATCGGACCTGTTGAATAAACATTTCTCATCTTCCCCTTCGTATTTGTATTCTTTTTCTGTCTCTAGGCCACCTACAGTAGAAGTAAATCACATTAGTACAGGTAGATAGAGGTAAAAATACAGGTAATAATCATGTGTACAGTTGAATATGGGCTTAATAGAATTATCAATATTGTAAAATTCAAAAAAGAAAAGGATGTTATATAAAGAGTTGTGTAATATGTTTATAAATATATCTTTTTGATATAAAGGAACATTATTCTGAAAATGGAAGGTTTTTGAGAGTTCTCAGCTCTCTGTGAAATAAAACTATTTGGATGAAATCAAATATCTGGACGGCAACAAAGTATGATAAGGTTCTCTTCGTTTAACTTTCTGTAAGTGAGGAGGGGAGACATAACAGAATCTGTGACTGAGTGAGGAGGGGAGACATTACAGAATCTGTGACTAAGTGAGGAGGGGAGACATTACAGAATCTGTGACTGAAAGAGGAGGGGAGACATAACAGAATCTGTGACTGAGTGAGGAGGGGAGACATAACAGAATCTGTGACTGAGTGAGGAGGGGAGACATTACAGAATCTGTGACTAAGTGAGGAGGGGAGACATAACAGAATCTGTGACTGAGTGAGATTACAGAATCTGTAAGTGAGGAGGAGAGACATAACAGAATCTGTGACTGAGTGAGGAGGGGAGACATTACAGAATCTGTGACTGAGGAGGGGAGACATTACAGAATCTGTGACTGAGTGAGGAGGGGAGACATTACAGAATCTGTGACTGAGTGAGGAGGGAAGACATTACAGAATCTGTGACTGAGTGAGGAGGGGAGACATTACAGAATCTGTGACTGAGTGAGGAGGGGAGACATTACAGAATCTGTGACTGAGTGAGGAGGGGAGACATTACAGAATCTGTGACTGAGTGAGGAGGGGAGACATTACAGAATCTGTGACTGAGTGAGGAGGGGAGACATTACAGAATCTGTGACTGAGTGAGGAGGGGAGACATTACAGAATCTGTGACTGAGTGAGGAGGGGAGACATTACAGAATCTGTGACTGAGTGAGGAGGGGAGACATTACAGAATCTGTGACTGAGTGAGGAGGGGAGACATTACAGAATCTGTGACTGAGTGAGGAGGGGAGACATTACAGAATCTGTGACTGAGTGAGGAGGGGAGACATTACAGAATCTGTGACTGAGTGAGGAGGGGAGACATTACAGAATCTGTGACTGAGTGAGGAGGGGAGACATTACAGAATCTGTGACTGAGTGAGGAGGGGAGACATTACAGAATCTGTGACTGAGTGAGGAGGGGAGACATTACAGAATCTGTGACTGAGTGAGGAGGGGAGACATTACAGAATCTGTGACTGAGTGAGGAGGGGAGACATTACAGAATCTGTGACTGAGTGAGGAGGGGAGACATTACAGAATCTGTGACTGAGTGAGGAGGGGAGACATTACAGAATCTGTGACTGAGTGAGGAGGGAAGACATTACAGAATCTGTGACTGAGTGAGGAGGGAAGACATAACAGAATCTGTGACTGAGTGAGGAGGGGAGACATTACAGAATCTGTGACTGAGTGAGGAGGGGAGACATTACAGAATCTGTGACTGAGTGAGGAGGGGAGACATTACAGAATCTGTGACTGAATGAGGAGGGGAGACATAACAGAATCTGTGACTAAGTGAGGAGGGGAGACATTACAGAATCTGGGACTGAGGGAGGAGGGGAGACATAACAGAATCTGTGACTGAGTGAGTAGGGAAGACATTACCAAGTCTGATGATTTCTTTGTAGGCCTGACTGGGCAGTCCACTGTGACTGAGTGAGGAGGGAAGACATAACAGAATCTGGGACCGAGTGAGGAGGGGAGACATTACAGAATCGGTGACTGAATGAGGAGGGGAGACATAACAGAATCTGTGACTGAGTGAGGAGGGAAGACATTACAGACTCTGTGACTGAGTGAGGAGGGGAGACATAACAGAATCTGTGACTGAGTGAGGAGGGAAGACATTACCAAGTCTGATGATTTCTTTGTAGGCCTGACTGGGCAGTCCACCATTACAACCCTCATCTACCTTATCACAGTCGACCAGTTCTGTAATTAGCAGGTAAATACATCAATTTTGTAATCAACAGGTAAATACAGCAATTCTGTTAATGACACTTAAATACAGCAATTTTGTTATTTAGCATATACCAGTATGAATATTCAAGTTAAAATATATAGAAATAATCTGATATTGGACAAAAAAATGTCATTTTGATAAGAACATTTACTGATTGAAACTCTGAAATAATGTGACCACTAAAATTCTTGTGACACCAAGGAATGTGCCGTTTGACCTCAGACAATCACCCAGTTGACCTCTTTGTATAACTTGTATAAGGGAAAAGTCGATGATAAAGATGGTACAAGAAAATGTTAGGATCCTTGTCCCACTTACAAAACAATAACTTCAATAAATTCTACCATAAATGTTTGGAACATTGTGTTGGGGTAAAAAAAAAATCATTTTATTTGAAATCTCGAAAAATGAACCAAAGCAAAATGTGATTTTTTTTCTTTGAACTTTTTCAGTATTTTCACAATTTTGTACTTTTCATCTATAGAACATGAATATTCAATGTAGATGAGAATGTATATTTCATAAAGAAAGATAACCAATAATGTTTCTTTAAAGTTTGAAGTGACTTTTAATAATGAAAGTGTTTAGTTTACAAAAGGTATACCAGTGCTTTGAAATATGTGTATATAACTGTATCAAACCAGTTCAGCATTTAATTAGTTTGGTTCGCATACTAATTTGTGTCATTGGTCAATGCATTTCGAAACAAAATTCTGCGAATTCCCAAATATGTACAGCAGAACTCCCTTATCCTACTTATCTACTAGGTAGACCTCAATATAGAATTTGTACAAGGTCAGACAACAGGCCAAGGCTGGTGAGAAAGGGCAGATGGCGACCCAAACGGGTTCCTTCTATCTATAAGTCTAATCCAAAGTGACGTCAAAAACAGCTGTTTTCACACTACGCTGACCTCATGGAAAATCTTATCAGCCTTGTCCAAGAATACAAATATGCTTGAAAGTACATCTGCCAAAATTCACTGTTGTAAGAATGGGTATAATACCAAGTCATTTAGGTAATTTTGGATGTGTCTAGGTCAGCATTTTGGAAAATTAATGTAATGTGCTGATTTTCATTATACAATGTATCACATAGCAATTAACTTGAAATTGAAACACACAATTTTAATACCCCAAATATGATCAAATTCATTAAAAAAATTGTGTAAATAAAAATAATTTGTTGCTTTGTTGTTTATAAAAATAGATATAGCTTGTCTGTTATATAAATACACTCAAAGCTGACTAAATGGGGAGTCTAACAGTGATCTCTGAACTCATTCACCCCTACATGTCTAAACTGAACTCGCCAAGTCTTTGATTTGGTAAGGTTCAAATGTGACTTTAGGGGTGAATGGGTTAATACAAGTTCAGTTTTCATAAAAAAACTACTACATTGGGGAACATTAAAAGTGGTCTCTTAACAGATGTGGTCCCTTGAGCAGGTTTGACAGTGAGTAAATAGTGTAAATAAATAATACATGCTGGTCACTTTTACAATAGACAAGACTTCAGTTTTTAAATAGAAACAGATTTTGTGATCTGATGCTGTTTTTGCTGACCCTTGTGTTAACATCAATAGGGTCACCAGGCATTGTACCTGGTAATGTTGCAATTTAAAAAGTGGACGATCTGGTCTGGTCATTCCAGGTCGTACTCAACACGAGCTTCAATTTTTATAATTAATGTATGGATAGATCCACAATTGATTTAAAACTAACTTTTCTCACATAAAGTTAAAGAAACAATTTTTTTTTTGTATAAATTATGATTTAATTGAAGTATTTTGCATGAACCATCCTCTGTGAATACGTGACCTGAAACATGTCAATGACCCTGATGAGCTATCAGCTCCTTATCTCCCGAAGACAACGATCGTGACATCAACCTCGTTTACCTGGGCAACACCTGTCTCAACCACTGTCGCACCTTTCACACTGGACAGGTGACAAAAGTTACAAACCAGGCCTGTCTTCTTGAAATTATTGTGACAGTCAGCTGTTCAAAAACCTGTTTCCAGAAAATTCAAGTCCTGTCTTACTTTCGAAGTTTTAATCATGCTACATTAGCAATATCTCTAGCATGAAATTTTAGATAAATGATCCCCGTACCACTGCCAAAAGCTATATATAAATTCACATTGTAAACACCTTTGATCCGGCATGACAATAGCTTTTATAAATCATTTCTGAAAATAAAACAATATCTTGCCAGACTTTTATGAAAACATGATAAAGATGACATAAATAAAACATAATTAACACAGTGTTCAATGTATGGATAGATCCACAATTGATTTAAAACTAACTTTTCTCACATAAAGTTAAAGAAACAATTTTTTTTTTTGTATAAATTATGATTTAATTGAAGTATTTTGCATGAACCATCCTCTGTGAATACGTGACCTGAAACATGTCAATGACCCTGATGAGCTATCAGCTCCTTATCTGCCCAGGGTACCATCCTTTTACTTTGTTAGAACAAAGGACTTCAGATTGATATACTATCGCTCGGACCACCTGAGCTACTTGATCAACTTAAGAATCCTTTACCAGCTGTGTGCTACATGTATTCAAAGCAAAATGAAAGGGAGGTTATGGAAACATACCAAAAACAACAGCGTAGTGGGACAGGGATCCTTAAATGTTTTTCACTGTTTGTTTTAAAACTATTCTTTTCCCACCTTTTTTTCACAAGATTAACGCTAGTCCTCAACCCTGCATGATGAGAAGATGTATCACAATATTTGTATAATATTACGCAGTAAAATATGTGTTTCTGTACATCTTTTATTCAGCATGTTATGAAGGGTTGTTGTACATTAACAGTTGTCAGGTGTTTTTCATTTCCTCATTTCGGTAACCTTGAATTTGTTTCCCGTTGGTACATTTGGATAAAACCAGCTATCCACGTATATCTGTAGTTAACGAGAGGCCCTATGGGCCTGTACAGCTCATCAGTGACCTTTAAAGATGTAGATGGTCAAGGCAAATTCATTAAAATAAGCTAAATTATCATAACGAAGGCGTCCCAACATGCTACTGGCCAAATAGCATCACCATCTCATGATCTGTCTCTTGGTTATTCATTAGAAGTTGTTGAAATGTTTTACACATTTGAGCAAACTTGACAGCCCTTTATCCTAGTATCTACTATTCAATTTTCATCACACTAGGGCTTTTTGTTTTTTTAGAAGAAGTTATTTAAGTAAAATGTTAACACCGGACGAAAAGAAGGACAACGGATCTAGCACCATGGCACCATTCAGTCAGGCTTATAAATATTTAAATGGATCAATAACAGCCGGCAACTTATCTTTTGACACTCAGACAAAATTGGATATTAATGATATTGGACACATAATTATACATCAAATAAGATATACACCAGGCATAACTATAAAGCCTTGATTGTAGGTTGATATATATGCTTCCACATCATCTCCAGCTGTCAAAGACACAGGTGTAATACAAAGAGATATGTACCTTGTTCAGATAGGGATACAAGCTTGCCCTGTTTGATAGCCCACTGGCCCTCAATATTTCCTGTGGTGGAAAAGGCCCAACAGGACCCGCATGAGCCCTGAAATATCAATCAGATGACCATGGAAAATACAAAATTTCATCAGCACTCCTAACCCTTTTACCACTGTAGACCATAATGGACTCATCCATATCAGTGCATGGTAGAGTCTACTAAAGTTACATAGGGCTGAAAGGGCTAATCTTTGTCCTATAGGCAAGTAGCAAACAAAATGTGATGATGGGGTTTTAAGAGAATTTGACGCATGGCTTGAAAACAGACATACAATCACCACTAGCTTGAAATGGAAACTCTTTTAGAAGACAGACTTTGCCTTTTCACAGAACACAATATAATGATACATCCCCACATTACAATAGATTTCATGTCCTGAGGAAAATGAATGCATGCTTAACTAATAAACATGAGTATCTGATCCAGAATAGAAGTGAAATTATTTAAATTTTAGAAATATATCCACATGTATTAAACAGTTCGAATATTTTCTCCAGAAAAACTGCTGTCTTCTCTTCTACAAAGTAAGCTTTTAATATGAACTTCAAAATATTAATGATGAAGACCTATAGCCATAAAGGTCCAGTTGGGGATTAAATAAAATCTTTCGCAGAAACTTTGCAAAACAGTGAATGAACAGAGTCCAAGATACATTTGACATTATGCTCTTATCTAGGTGCCCTTTTCTCCCTAAACACTAAATTTATATACATGTATCAAATCAGGTATTCTACCTGGTTCTTGACTTCAGTCACAGCGTTGTGGTCACGCCAGTCGAAGGCCTCTGGGGTGGTACCTCGGGGGATCTCTGCCTTCTGCATACCAACATTACCCTTTAGGTCCCACTTATAACCGACATGCTGGCGGAACTCTTTCTCTACAATCATAAAATCAAAGTCCTATTCCTTCTATTTAACATTTTTGATCTTTCTGAACACTACTACTAGCCAACTGTCAACTACAACTTGTAAATATATTTGGCTACACGAAACTAATTCTAATATTTTTCTTATATTTTCAAATTGTGATTTGAATATTTTGGACACCTGATTTAAACTGTTTTTTATTTTTCAGAACTTGAGAAATAATTTCTGAAGATGGAGAAAACAGGCTATTAGTCATTCATATTTTTAAATTGCAAAGCTGACATTGTCTTTATTGTTAACATGTGACGGTGAACAAGATGTAAAGAAATTTCTTGGTTAAGATAAGAAAAGTTTTCATCAAGGGTCTAGACAACGAAATTGATTCCAGTACATCAGAGGTCAGCAAGTTCTACCACACCAAGACTGAAATGCTAGTCGATACTTTCAGACCTCGGGGTTAATTTTTTATTTCAGACCTCGGCACACACCTGTAAGATCTGCAAACTTTGTAGCACCGTAGCGAGCAGTACTTCCTGGTCTCTCAGTCTGCTGAATCTTGGCCGCAAGTTTCATGTTGGACTCAAATATTCGGTATCTCTTCTTCTCCTCTGGAATGTCACAGAAATATACTCTTAAAGATTTTGTAATTCCAGGATGATTTAATTTTTAATGAGCCCATTGAAATTCATTGATCCCCACAAAAAAAAAATCCATGTGTTTTTATGGTTTGAAACATGGATCCTAGAAAAGGAGTTTTATTGAAAATGCTATTTATAATTTTTATTTCATTCCTCAACAATTTGAAGCCACAAATATATCGAAGTTTAGATTTTGCATTTTAACTTTTCTAAAATAATAAATCATCGAAAAATAGTTTTCTAGTTAAACGATTCTGGTCAATGGAATATCAGAATATGTTTTTCTCCAGTTGTGTCTAGATGAAATAATTTGTTCTGTTTATTATCATTGATCGACTCATTCGAAAATCCCACAGGAAAGGCAGAGAGATGCATGTAAAAAAGAAAAATATTTCTGTCCCATTGAGAGCTCAAACATAACCTTGCTTTGTATCAGGGTGTTTTTTTCTTGCTTTTTTTGGCCCTCTCTTTCAATTGTTTCTAAGATTGAACTACATATTCTTTTCAAAACTTAACAAGAGGCCAAATGGGCCTGAATCGCTCACCTGGTATTAATCTCACACTTGTAATCTTAAACGTGGACTAAAATACAGCTAGAGGCAGAATATCAGTGTTTGATTCATAAGAACCTATTAAAAGATATAAACATATGACGCCTGTGACCTTGAATGTCGAACAAGGACATTAGGTTGAACAAATTTTAAAGTCTTCCAACCAAGCATGCTTTTGCCAAAATATCATTACCCTGGACCTTTTGGTTATACAGAACAAGTCATTTAAAGATTTAAACATATATTGACCACTGTGACCTTGAATATGGGCGAAGGTCATTCATTTTAACAAACTTGGTAGCCTTTCATCCCAGCCTGTTAATTGCCAAATATCATCACCCTTGGCCTTTTGCTAATTGAGAGGTCGTTTAAAGGGTTTTTTAAACATATTTGACCCCTGTGACCTTGGATATACTTCAAGGTCATTCATTTGAACAAACTTGGTAGCCCTTCATCCCAGCATGTTACTTGCCAAATATCATAACCCTAGGCCTCTTAGTTATTTAGAAGAAGTTGAATAAAGGTTTTAAATATATTTGACCCCTGTGACCTTAAATATTTGTCAAAGTCATTCATTTGAACAAATTTGGTAGCCCTTCATCATAGCAAGCTACTGGCCAAATATCATTATCCTAGAACTTGTGGTTATTGAAAAGAAGTTGTTTAAATGTTTTAAACATATTTTAACATTGTGATCTTGAATATCAGTCAAGGTCATTCATTTGAACAAACTTGGTAGCCCTTCATCCCAGCATGTTACTTGCCAAATATCATTATCCTAGGCCTCTTAGTTATTCAGAAGAAGTTGTATAAAGATTTTTTAAGACAATTGACCCCTGTGACCTTGAAAATGGATGAAGGTCATTCATTTGAACAAACTTGGTAGCCATTCATCCAAGCATGCTACTGGCCAAATATCATCACCCTGGGCGTTTTGGTTATTCAGAAGAAGTTGTTTAAAGTTTTTTAATATATTTGACCCCTGTGACTTTGAAAATAGGTGAAGGTAATTTATTTGAACAAACTTTGTAGCCCTCTATCCCAGTTTGCTTCTGGCCAAATATCATCACCCTAGGCCTTGCGGTTACGGACGGACGGACGACGGACGCCGCACCATGCCATAAGCTCACTAGGCCCTTCGGGCCAGGTGAGCTAAAAAACAATCAGTAAAATTATTCTCAAATACACATAAAAACATACCATATATCTCTTAGCTGTTATATTATGTACCCAAGTTAGATTTTCCTACATTCCGAGTGTGACCCCAATCTACAACTTGTTATTTTCAGTGAGCTATTGCCCCATTGGCAGCCACGCTGGTTTTCAGATTTGGGTCAAAATTTAACTCGGGAGCGTTATTGATATTATAGGTCTGTGTAGAAAGTTTCATGTAAATAATATGGCATGTTTTTAAGAATCATTGCACAGAAACCAATTGTGCTAACGATACCAACAATGCTGACAGAGTGATGCATTATATGTCAAGTGGGTTTTTTTGCAGGCAATAATAAAAGTAGAGTAACATCAGTCCAGCTGCAACCCCAGGGAAATTTCACCCCTCAAATTTTAAAATGCCCACATAGCAATTTTTTCCCAGATTTGTATTTTCCAAAAAATGAGCTATTATTAATTTCACCCGCTGGTAAATAAAAATCCCAATATTTTATTTTAGAAAATTTGAATGTTAAATATTTTGTTTTGTTCCTTTTTAAGCAGTTAGGTTACCAGTTAATAACATTTAACTGTATAACATGCCACACACCAGCCATAGAAGAATAGACCTTGCTGTGTTTCCTCTTGAAGGACAGGAACTTTTCCATGGTAGAGAGCTGTTGGGTCTCCTTTGGTTTGTCCACAACCCCATTATCTACCTGAAAATAGCATGTTCTAATTTTGTTACATGCAGCTCGTTTAAGACAGCATTAATTGAAACAGCTAAAATGTTTTCCTACTACAGCACGGCTATACAGACTTAAATTCTTCTCTATCAAAAAAGTCCATTAAATTACACAAAGAACCCAGGTCATATACTTAAAGCTTTCAACTTAAGGATCCCTGTCCCACTCTACTGTACATGGGTTTTCCTTTACACAGTGACCTCCCCTTAATTTTGTTTTGTTATATAACTGTCGCATATATAGTTGTTGACCAGGTAGCTAAATTGGTTAGAGCGACAGCATAACAGATTTGAAGTCCAGGGCCCATATTCATGAAACCGTTCTCATGCTTGAGCATGGATTTTGTGCTCAAGCCTGATTTCTTGTTCTGGTTATAACTTATTAATAAAATGTTATTTTGTCAATGATTTGGGGGGAAAAAATGAAGAAACTTAAAGCCGAATACTGTTTTCAATGCTTTCATTTGACTTCTTGGTCGCTTGACATGATTTAAGTAAGTGACAAGTAATTTGGTTTGGGCACAAAATCCATGCTTGAGCATGACAATGGTTTGATGAATATGGGCACAGAGTTCTCTGAATCCCTGGTCTAGTCATCTTTTTCATTCCCTACACTATTGCTGATAATTTTTTATTTTTTTTATTTCATCTCTATTATTTTTTCATAAAAATCTTGCAAGGTATACTTTTCTTTTCAGAAATGGAAAAATAACTTCTGAATCCAAAACTTCATTTTTTTTTTGCAGGGATACAGGGATCCCTGAAATGAAATATAAAAGGTTTTTATATCAGATATATAAATCTGATTGGACGTTGGATATGAGACTTGAAAAATTGTTTTATAATACTGGAAGTTTTCATAGTACCTATACTATAAAAGTATTTACATGTATATTTAATGGACTTAAACTTGAGTATATCATCAAATTTTAACAGATCTGCGCAGGGATAAATAGGCACACTCACAATATATGCAATAAAAAATGTCAATTAGGGCAATCATAATTTAGTACAGGTACAACAATTAAAGCATGAAGAGTACAAAAGTTTCAAGAAAAATAAATTCAAAACGGGAATTTCCAGTGAAAAACTGACCTGAGTTTGACCTGGGATTGACCTGAAAAGTTCATAATGTCAACTTCAGGTCAAATTCAGGTCGAACTTATTTGAAGAAATTTTGTCTTCGTTTGTACATGTAGAAATTGTACCAGAGGGTTTAGCGTGGTCAGGACTTTTGAAAGCCTGTTTTGGTTCTCAGATTCTACACCCTCAAGTAAAATTTTCGTATCCCCGATACCTACATATGACTAACTAACAGGTTCCTTTATGTGTGTGTAAGACAGAGAGATTATGAGATAGATGCCCCACCTGTGTGTGTATAATAAGCTTAAGCTGTCATGTCTAAGTGTAGGCGGTGATTGTCATGTAGACAGGAAAATCTCAGATTTTTAGTCTTAAAACCAGGGTTCTGTTCATGTCTATTTTGGTAGTCAAAGTTTTAACCTTAATTTTAACCTTAGGCATTAGAATTTCCTGTCGCAGTCATTATTAATTATTTTACGATCTTACAACTTCAAATTAATAACTCCTCATTTGAGATAGCCTACTCTTCAACATTGTACTATAATTTTGACATGCCAGCCAAAATTGATTACATGTGATACGGTTACAATGCATGAAGTGATGACATTTACACACTACAGACAGTTGTGGTGACGTCATAATTAGGTGTGTTGTTTTGTATACCTGTGTGTGTAGGTTACATAAGTGACATGACTTTTTGACATTGATGACAAACATGCTGATCACAGTCCTGCTGGTACATATCACAGACCTGCCCACCTATTTCTATCTTCAACCCGCCACTGCCTTCTCCTCAGATCGTCATGCTAGTTTGGACCATGCTCCCAAGAGCAAGTCAAGCATGTCTTTACTTATTATATATAGACTTAAGCAACATTCAAGGGTTTAGCAATCATCCAAGTAGCGTTCATAGAAAGGAAACCTTGTAAGTGGTATGCTTGATGTATTCTTGAATATGTGAGCGAAGAGCATGAAACAATTTGGTATATGTCTCTTCTTATGGTCTGTTCCAAATTTGTAATTGTGTTTGTTTCGTCTTTGTAGATTTTATTTCTTGCTGTATTAAACACATCTAAATTATCTACCTTGTCTGTACTTGATGCATCCCAGAAAAAAATGGCTGCCAACATGGGGCCCCAGGAAATATTGAAACAAGGCATCGCAGATGATATGAATACCTTCACACTTAAAGCTGTCAAGTAACAGCGACCTAGTTTTGGACCACAGAAGTTCGAAAAGCAAAGTGGAATAAGAGGTGATGTATGTTAGCTAGTTGTGTGAAGTTTTGTGATGATTGGAAAAGAAATGAAGTCTGTAGAGCAATTTCCCCATCAAACTCTATTTATAGTAACATTGACCTAGTTTTTGACCGCAGCGGGTCGTAATGCAAACTGATGTTTGTGAACATGTGTGTGAAGTTTCATGACAATCGGAAAAGTAATGAAGTCTGTAGAGCGATGACCTCAAAAAATAAATTGATCATTCTTTTTAAAGCAACAATGACCTATTTTTTGACCACAAACTGCACGGTACAAGAGGTGATGTTTGTGAACACGTACGTGACTAAGTTTGGTTATTGACACAAACATATGTACATCTAGTCCTACGTTATACAGCAGCCTAAGGGCTTTTGATATAACATGAATACCAGCCATTAACAAAACTTGCTATCTTCCTTTTTTTTCCTTCTGAACATCATTCTGCAATTATCCTGGTCTTCTATGGTGTGTGAGTGGTGTTGGCCTGTTGATAGACTGTTGCGTACAACTTCTATCAAGTTTTTTTTTACAAACAAGTGACAGAGGGCTGGTGACTGCATGTAGTAAAGAGACAAACATGGTTGACTTTCATTTTATCACAGTCCTGTATGCATGGGGGTGTCTCAGTATGCAGACAAGGTTTTCTAGATATTGTTGATGACTTGTACCATATTTTATATTTTTCTTTTATGTTCATGACCTCATATCAGGACTGTTCTCTGGAAGTTCTCTGTTCAGGTCCATATATACACGTGTTTGATATATTTCTGTGAAGCTATTTTGTTGATAACTTTGTGACGACCTCTGACCTCAAACTGTAAAATGACACATTATTTAACCTTGGGATGCTGTAATTGACCTTGCAGATCCTGCATGAAAAACAGAAATCCTAAAATGGCATAAAAGTTGATGTGAGCAACAGTAAACTATTGATTCTCGGAGAATCATTTATTTTGTCTGTACAGACGTTGTGTGCCAGTGTGTTGTTGATAATTCCAAGATGGCAGCCAGTCTATAGTTACATCATGTATTTGAATTTAGTTAATCAAAACACCGCCTACCTGCATGGTTCTACATGTACCAGATACACTTTTGCAAATAACCTTAATCTGTTGTATCTATAAACTTTCATAAATTCACGTTTTTAAAGATTTTTTGGGTAAAAAGCAAAACCACGAGGAAGTTAAAACAATCTGATATCAATCCTCGTTTCTGCCTTATATATATCAAATGCTATGCTTGTGTTCTAACATCAGCACTTTGACAAGTACTAGCCTGCCATAATATCATAAAGCACTTTTATTCTATACAACTCTTCTAGATGAAATAGACTCGTGCATATTTTTAAATTAAATTACAGAATTTATGTCAACTTTGAAATTACTTTCAAATTGAATGTGAACTTAACATATTTTGACTTTTTGCTGCATAGAGATATATAAACTTACTCAGGTTCAGTTAAACAGAAGTGGCAGCTAATGCTAAAACAGCGTCTGAATGATTTTCATTTACTTTTCCCCCCTTAAACCAAGGTAGCTGCATATGACAAAGTAATTTTTGTTTAGATTTATTTGCTCTACATTTTGTTACTGTCATAAAATCCACTCCCACGAAGGATACTAGTACAGGTACTCTTACCCTACACCGGTTGCGCTTTAGAGTGGCTTATGTTAGCTACATAGGGCACTATATCAAATGTAACACATTAGAAATAAGAAACTAGTGAATGTATTTGGTGCTGAGCAGCATCGGTATCTGTTTGCTGTTCTGATAAGCGAGGTCAACTCCCACGATTACAGGTAGTCCGAACAGCCTTTCTTATCTTAAAGTTCTACTCTATGGAAGCAGTTGTCACACTTCTAATGGTGTATATAATATTGTACATGTATGCCTTCACAGTAGGAATGGTTGAGAGCCAGGTTTATGTCATTTCTGGTGATTTGTTTTGATTGATAACAATAAAAACACCTATTACATATATACCAATAAATGTTCAGGCTCATATCATATAGACACCAAAAAAGTTGAGTTAAAATACTTGCCAACCTTTTGAAATTTCAATGGGGAAGATTTTGCAACCTCAAAATTAAATCATGAATCAAATGTGTCTATATATACCTTCTAGCGATTAAATAACCCTTTAAGATGTCATATTTTGTATTCTTTCAGATGAATCATTATATCTTAAGAGTATAGGAATAGTTAAGCCAATTCAGGGGTTGGGAATTAAATTAAAGGTTCCGAAATTGGGAGTCTTCCTCCTAAATGAAGAGGGCTGGCACGTATGCAGTTTTAAAATTTCAAACAAGATTTGGCAATCTTAATTTTTGCAATATATCAGTGCCTCAGGTAAATGCTAACTGTATAGTGTGTATATATATATACAGCAGTGTATATCTACAGTACAGTCCATGTGATACACTCTGGTGCTATCCCTATACAGGTATAAGGGTACAGGCCATGTGATAGACTCTGGTGCTATCCCTATACAGGTATAACTGTACAGTCCATGTGATACACTCTGGTGCCATCCCGATACAGGTATAAGTGTACAGTCCATGTGATACCCTCTGGTGCCATCCATATACAGGTATAAGTGTACAGTCCATGTGATACACTCTGGTTCTATCCC